ATGAGGAAATTCACTCCTTTATATTGCCTTAGAAATTTTCAATTTTTTTTTCCAACTAGGAAGTCAGTAGATTTTTAGTTACTTTCCAAGTGTTATCATGTGATTGCATAAGAACATGGGAGATTCTGTGAGAAAATATTTTCCACATTTATAACCAAATTGGCAGCCCCGGCATTTATTTCTCTTTTTCCAAAAGAACAGACCACCAAGGTAGTTTAAAACAGACTGAGGAAAGGGGGAAAAAAGAAAAGGAAAAAAAACCCTGATAACCAAGTATACTTCTAACTTTGAAAGGCAACAACTGTGGAGAAATGAAGGAGGGTAAGTCCACAAGGAGGTCCTTCTAAAGAGAAAAGGGAAATAGCTAAGTACTAAGAGGTCACAGGGTACATTAAACACATAAAAAAAAAAAAAAAACCCACTCATTAAATTTAAAGATCTGGTCCTGCAAGAGCAGTTTTTTTTTTAGTAAAAGGCATACCATTTGTAGTTTTTTTTAAATTCAAAAAAGATTTACAATATCACTTTGTTTTCTGAGGGTTTTTTCCCTGTTCTTTAATTTGATTCTGTAATGAATGTTACCAAATGGTATCTATAGAAGTGTAAAAATTAAGATATGTCACTTAAAATACAACCAAAAAGCAGGGAATTGGGGGCTTATTCAATTTCATTTATTTCTTCAGCTTCTTTTGCAGAGAGATGTTCCACTGTCTGTTTTAACTTTCGAGTAAAATAAATTTATTGAATTTCTCACCAGCATTATTTTTTAGTTGCACTGATTGTTTAACTGCCCTCTTTATTCAAGTATCAGCAGTGGTCATGGCAGCACATTCCCAACCCTCAGGGCACAGCACACTCCATGCCCACTAACCACAAGGCCACTCTTATCAGAGCTGTGGAATTAAAAAAATAAAACAAAAACTGTCACTGTCACTGACATACTTTTATACAAATAAAGACAAAGTATCAAAATAAAATAAACATATTTTAAATTTTATTTTTGGCCACTGCATGCAGCATGTGGGATCTTAGTTCCCCAACCAGAGATCCAACCTGTGACCCCTGCATTGGGTGCATAAAGTCTTAACCACTGGAGGGCCAGGGAAGTCCCTAAAATAAAATAAATACTGACAGCAGCCAATAGAAAAGTCGGAATTGAGATGAGAAAACATCTAACAGTGAAAACAGACTAACACAAAATATGTGCTTTATTCAGGCTCCTTCAACTTGTTGTGACTACAGGGCACAATACTCAAAGTTTCACTTTCCTCACCTATAATGAGAGTTTTGCACTTGATGATCTCTAAGCTCCCTTTTAGCTATAAAATTCTGTGATCCTCTAAAGATGAGAAAATTCGAAAAATTAAAACAAAATGAAGAGGTGATAGAGATGGACGTGTGCGTGCCTGTATGTGTGTTTAGCATCTGTCCTTTCTGTCTCTTTCCCCTGTGTTTGTGACTTCTACAAATTACTGCTCAGCATAAGCAAATAGGGGTTCTTCAAGCATGGCTCACTTGCTGAAATCATGTTCCTTCTTTCAAATAGCTTATGAAATTCTCTGCAACCTGTTCTTGCAGAATACACAAACTGCTGATCACAGACCTAAACCAAACCTGCTGCCTAAACTTGAAGCCAAATGTCTTTTCTCATCTCTCCATCATAAATACATTTGCCCTAAATAGAATATAAACTCATTCAAGTTTTACCATACAATCTATGTCAATAAATATCAGATAAACAAAACCATGAGAAAAAAAATAAGCAGGAAACATAAATTTCTAGAAGTGGATATAGTTCACTAAAGTTGTTTTAAAATATTAAGTAAAATAATCAATGAAAATGCAACATGAGTTAGACAAATAATTCACAGACTTCATATTAATGATTTTGACATGTTATCATATCAGCCAATGGATTACCCTCAATTTTCAAATCTGAATACAAATGTAGGGAAAAAAATAGACTTGTATATAGCCATTGGTTAAGTAAATAATGAATGATAAATTTGTAAATTTGAATGACTAACTTCAATGCTCTATGATCAAATAAAAGATAATTTCTTGGTAATTCATTCCTTTTACACTGTGAAGTAAGGAAAATAACTTTTTAACCTACTCAAAAGCACAACAAACAAAAAAACATTCCCTAGTAAACTGATCACAGGTATAATAAATTATGAGGCATGGTTTAGCTTACCTAGTTATTACCATAAAATAGTTTTGTGAATGAAGCATTTCAACTGTGTTATTTTTGCAAGCACCTGTTTAAAATTTGGCAGATATCTAAGGGCCTAAAAGTACATTAGTTAATTGGCTATATCCTACTATAAATGAAGTATATTAACCTGATAGGGAGCACCATTTTATTTTTATTTTTTTATTTTTCCATTTATTTTTATTAGTTGGAGGCTAATTACTTTACAATATTGTAGTGGTTTTTGTCATACATTGACATGAATCAGCCCTGGGAGCACCATTTTAAAAGCCAAATCTACAATTTGAAAATTTACACTGGCTAGTATTAAGCACCTGAAAGTTAAAAGATAAACTTGAACAATACTTTACTAAGGATTGACAACATCTTTCAAAACTGGAAGAAGCATAGGCAATTTTACAGTGGGTCAAAGCCAAAATAATAAACCCTGAAGCCTATACCTTTCATGTCTAATAAGCTTATTTGGTTCACTGACAAAAACTGTGCTGGTGATGTGCGTCCAGTAGTGCTGAAAGAATGTAACCTGACATCTAATAATGCTTAAAAACAAACACACAAACGCGTTTCTGCTCTCAGACACACCTCTCCTATCCCTATTTGCTCTCATACCAACATAGAGACTGCCACATTCTTTCTACACTAGAAAGGCTTACCTCTAGCCTTTCCTAACTTCTTTCCACCTTAAAAACTATCTTTGCCCATGTTTATTTTGAAATCATTTCAACCATGAAAAATGGCAATCAGTAAGGAATACACAATCTCCAGTTATGAGGTACTCTGCTCATGTATATCCTTGAAACACAAACCTTTCTCTCACACATGCCATTTCTCAAGCAGTTTTCCAAGAGAAAAAAAAAAAAAAAAGCCTTTCTTTATGTAATCAGTAGGAAAAAAGACCCCCTACTTAACTCTCCACCCCCCGGAAAAAAAACTTTTCAAGAAGGAAAATCCTTGTTTAAGTTGGCCTGTTTCATTAAAACCAGGCATTTCTCTTGGATAAAATTTTGCTCAGTTATGCCTATTAACTCCTAAAAGTTATCAGCCAGTGTAACTGTGTTAAGCTGCCTCTAAGATGGCTCCTAAAGACCCTTGCATCCTGGGATTTATGCCCTTGTGTAATCCTTTTCGCAATGACTGAGTTGGATTTATTGACTCACTTCTAACAAAAGAATATGGCAGTTGGCAGTAGTGATGAGAGGCGACTTCTGATACTAGGTTATAAAAGACTAGAGAGAGTTTTGGGCACTATCTCTCTTAGATTGCTCACTTGAGGGAAAGCCAGGTGCCACATTGTGTACAATACCTCAGACTAACTGTCAAGTTATCTGGATAAAAATGGCAAGCTTCCTACTCAACCTGAAAATAGAATAAAACTTATTTCTCACTCTGATATCTTCTCAATTTTGTAAACCATTTTCTTAGGTGGTAAAAATCCCTTCTATCCCAGAAATATGGTCTCCAACTCCAAACTTAAAAAAAAAAGGAAAGCTGAAATGGAAAATTAAATTAGCTTAACTTTGCAGTAATAAAGGTCGTGATCTATTGATACGGAGACAAACATCTGGGATCCCTGAACATAAAAACTCCAGTTGTTAGAAGAAGTAATCAAAGATTAAATTGCTAAATGTACACAAAACCTAAAGTAAAACCCTTAATTGACTGAGGATTGGGATCCATTTGTGATTTCACCCACTTTTACTAAATTTAATTGAGCAGCCACCATATAAGAAACTAGAGCCCAGTCACAGAGAAACAAACGAGACGACAAATTAATAATTTGCCTAGTTTATAGCCAAAGTTTAACTGCTAAAGCAACTAGCAGTCCATCATGACATGAACTGTATGTGTTTGCATTCATGTTACTGGAAAGTATGTAAAGAATCGAAAACTGTGTTTATGAACTCCCCCAAAACCCACTCTACTTAAAAGCTACATCTGGGGTAGAAGAGTAACCTCTGCTTTTTCCTGGCTTTATTCAGAGTGAAGTCGGGTCCTACCTGGGGTCCCAAGTTGACTTACACCCCAGTGACCTAGGAACACAAGAACACACCTACTCCCGCCTCCTGACACGGATTCCTTATTTTAATTAGCCAGCACCGCTGTCACTCAAGATGTTTTGCACTGTCATTGGCCCCGAAGTCTTACAGGTTGGCAAGTTTCTGCCAACTGGCAAGTGTCCGTTGTCATTATTTCCGAGAAGAAAAGTAGGGGTGTACAGGGAAGGGACGCAAGAGCTATGAAATATCTAGGGTGACGCCCTTACCTGAGCGACCTGCGATCCCACCGCCGCCGCGACGAATCGGCCTCTGGGCGGGGGCTTTCAGCCAAAAAGAAGACGACTCAGCCGGGAACGGGCGCCCAGGCCATGGAGAAGCCGGTTCAAACTTCACTTGTTCACACTGGTGGAGGTGAGGAGGGGGAGAATCCCAGAAACGTACCGGATCCTTCCGAACTCAGAGAGCCTCAAGCTGCAGCCCACTCAGCGGCCGAGTTTTGACGTTTCCTATTGTTGCCGGAAGTGACGTCAGAGTTCAGAGGCTTCAGAAAGTATTTTCATCTCCATGGTCTACGATTCGCCACAGGGTCTCGGCTTCTCACTTCCCAGTTCGAGCCCCTCTGAGCCTCAGAACTGGGTAGACTTCCAATCTGCACCTTAGGATCTGACTAAATGTAGAAAAACCTCTCGGCAGGACGAGTCTTCTCAGGGCTCTGGATAAACATCCCGTGGAATCTGCGGCGGAGAATCCGGGGACGTGGGGGAGCCGACAGCTTTGAAGGTCCTGCAGCGGTGCTCCGAATACAAACGGTCGGCGCGAGAAGCGCGCCCCGGCACCGCCGTCGGGCCGCAGGGACTAGTTGCTGGAGGCTGGGCTCCCGGGTTCTCAGGTTGCATATGCTACCACCATCTTTGCCCGTTGTGCGGGGCTAGAAGCCTTCTGAGCCCTTTCTTTGCTGGGCCGTTCTGGGTGAGCGCGGGGGAGCCGACAGGGCTGCGCCCGGGATTTGGCGGGGGTCGCCTCTCTTCGCTGCCCTAACCGAAGCCCTGGGAGAGGTGGAAGTAAACAGCTCTGCCTTATCTTTTTAAATTAAGTGGAAGGAGGAGAGCCCTAGATGTGCCTTGCCCATGAACCCGACTGGGGCATCCTTTTGATAACGACGCAAGTGGAAAGAGCTCATCCTCTCAGATAGTTTATGACTTAGGGTCCTGGACGGACCGATTCCTCTTATTGGAGCCTCTGAGCTGAGCAGTCCGGCTCCTCGGAAATACTGATGAGAGGGAAGAGCTGAGGATAGTTGATGTTTTCCTTGCTTTACCTTTCCCGAGTATTTCAGGGGGGAAAGAAAAAGTACTTCACTTTCCTGCAGGACTGGATTTTTCCGTTACTGGGGGAAAAATACTGAAATTTGGATTCCGGAATCAGGGCTGTAGTAGACTTTTTCTAAAATTGTCCACAAACCTTTTCACGGTTTTATATATGAACGCAGCTATCCCTCAGATATGCTTGACCCTTACTCCCCGTTTCCCCCAGTTTTCTCCTCTATTATTATTAATAGATAATATCAATAGCTGTCCCAAACTCTTAGTCATCAACCATAGTCCTTACACCAATCGGTTTAATTGCTTCATTCTGAACAAAAATCACTGAGTTCATTGGCATTCCATTGGGAGGCAACATTTAATGACCTTTAATGGCAGTGAGACTAAATTAGATTAAAAGTCTTAAACTGCTATTTTATACCATTTTCACAATACCTCCTGTAATACAGTGGGGCAGATCTAACTCGTAGCAGAGAACTCTGGAGGAAGCTAGGAAGCAATACTGAGACCATTTTAGTGGTTGAATCTGTGCTACAAGCTGAGTGGTATATGCCTTTGTCTTTTAATTTCTTTTTATAAGTGTTATAAAGTGAAAATGTTAAGTGACTTCTTAAAAAGTTATTTTTCATGTCTGAAACTACTGTGTTAAAATGTGCACAATTCCTAGATTGGCTTTTGTTAATGTCTTAATTTTTAGTGTTTTTTCAGTTTTATAATAAAATGTAGAGCCTTCCATGAAAATGTAGAGCAGTAGCTGTAATTTTTTCCTATAATACTCAATTTTTTTAATCCTGAAATTTTTTTCTTTCCTATTTTATCACTTATCTTCCTCACCTACAGATCCCAGCTGTACTTTTATCATACTCTTCTTCAGAATATTTATTCTGCTGGTACAGAAGAGGATGTGTTCCAGGGACATACTTTGTTGTCAGAAATTCCATTAGAAGAGGTAGAAATAATGAGACATTAATATACGTTACAGGACTTAAGAGAAAGGAAAGATACCATAAAGTGTTAAATAAAACAAAATTTCATGTACCACAGAGATTGAATATACCTCAAAAAGGGTTTAAAGAAGTCTGTGGAAAGAGATAAAATTTATATTAAAGTAATAGAATGTCTTAGGAGAAAAGGTGGAGAAGGTAATGGCAACCCACTCCAGTACTTTTGCCTGGGAAATCCCATGGATGGAGGAGCCTGGTAGGCTACCGTCCATGGGGTTGTGAAGAGTTGGACACAACTGAGCGACTTCACATTCACTTTTCACTTTCATGCACTGGAGAAAGAAATGGCAACCCACTCTAGTATTCTTGCCTGGAGAATCCCAGGGATGGGAGCCTGGTGCGCTGCCATCTATGGGGTCTCACAGAGTTGGACACGACTGATGTGACTTAGCTGCAGCAGCAGCAGGAGAAAAGGTGCCCTTAGAAGAATTGTATTAAGGTAACATGGGTCCGGAGGCTTCCCAGGTGGCACTAGCAGTAAAGAACCCACCTGCTAATACAGGAGAAGGTAAGAGACTCAGGTTCTATTCCTGGGTGGGGAGGATTCCCTGGAGGAAGGCATGGCAACTCACTCCAGTATTCTTGCCTGGAGAATCCCAGGGATAGAGGAGCCTGGCAGACTACACCCCATGGAGTTGCAAAGAGTTGGAGGCGATTGAAGCAACTTAGCACATGCACATGAGTCTGGAACTTAACAAACTAAGACCTACTATATTGGCCAGTGACAGCACCCAAAAAATATATTTTGCAGTCAACAGCCAGATTAGTTCGCACTTCATCTTTTCCAGGAAAATTAAGGCTGGTCTTGGGAAGTCATCCTTAACTGCTTCCCTATGTACATATATTCCGCCAGTTATCCTGAAAGATTTTAAATAAGGTTGACCTTTCTTGGCCAATACATTGTTGAAAGTGATTTTTAGAATCACTTCCTTTTTTTTTCTAGTTTTCTTGCATTTGAAATTTCCTCTGCTTAAAAATGTAAATGCTTAGTTGAAGTGGTTGATTGGCTGAAAAATATTGACTAAAACTCACATATGAGCATTTAAAAGTATATTTGATAATGTGTTCTTTACCGTGTGGATAAAGGAGGGGAGATTTGGAACAGGAAGTGAAAGTGAAAGTTGTGCTGGACTCTGCGACCCCATGGACTTATGCAGTCAATGGAATTCTCCAGGCTAGAATACTGGAGTGGGTAGCCTTTCCCTTCTCCAGGGGATCTTCCCAACCCAGGGATCGAACCCAGGTCTCCTGCATTGCAGGCAGCTTATTTTCCAGCTGAGCCACAAGGGAAGCCCAAGAATACTGAGTGGGTAACCTATCCCTTCTCCAGGGGATCTTCCCGATTCAGGAATCGAATCTGGGTATTCTGCATTGCAGACCGATTCTTTACCAGCTGAGCTATAAGGAAAACGATACAGAGGAGGAAAGGGTACAGAATTGCATGGCCAGTGGCTTAATATGGAAAGCTTACTAAATTTAGGATTTTGCACATTTGTACCCCATCTCAGGTTATATATAGATACAGGGAAGGTGTGTGAGAAGGTGATTTGTACCCTAGGCAACTGCTGGGAAGTTGACCAGGGGACATGATCATGCTGAATCTAGTTCCCCTGATTTATGGATTATTCTGTTTTGTTTTTAATGTCAGTGGCTTCATTTGAGAGGAGCAGCATTCCCAGAAGATTCAACACTCAAGGTATTGTTATATTTTTGGACAGTTATAAATACTAGATATTTTGAAGTGTGTGACTGAGCTTTGCCTCATTGGTTACAGTTTAGAAGCCCTTTGTCTTTTTCTTGCAAAAGTTTTTAACCATTTGTTTACCTGTTTAGGTACCTCCCTTGGGAATAATCTCCTTTAGTCTAAAGAAAGCCCTGCCCCATGCAATAAAATGAGTCATTTAAAAATGTAATTCCATGGTATTATTTTGAGATTTAAAAAATGAACCATTTAAAATCTCAAATATCATTCATATCTTTTGGTGCACATAAAAGTACATACATACTCTGTTACTTGTATCCTTTGGCCTCATACTCCTGTTTCATGGACCCTGAGTTTGTTAGTAGATATCACTAATAAGTTTCCCAAAGTCATTATACTTATTTATACTTTTCACAGCATTGTGCTCTGTTTCAGATGCTTTGCAACCTTGCTTTTGGGTTTACTTTGTAATTTCCTAATGATTAATAAGGTTGCATATCTTTTTACATTTTTGTTGTTTTCACATTTACTTTTCTGTAAAGTTCCTGTTCAGATCTCTTTCCTGTTCTTCTATTGAGTTGTCTTTCTTATTACTTTGTAGGATTTTTTTAAATCTTTTTGTTGGTTATGTATATTGACAGTATCAACTTCCCCTCAATGACTTATCTTTCCATTCTCTTAATGGTATCTTTTGATGAACAGAAGATAGAAAGTTTATTGTGGCTCATTTTATCAGTCTTTACCTGAAGAATCATGTATTCTATAATCTCCAAGAAGCCTATCTGTCTTATATTTCACATTTAGATCTTTGACAAACCTGTAATTGATTGTAATGGATATAAAGTTCCCTTTACATCAAGGGGGTCAAGATTTATTCATCCCATCTGGGTATTCAGTTGACACAGTACAATTTATTGAAAAAGACCATCCATTCTCCAGGGCTATTCTCCATCAACTTTGTCATAAGTCTAGTGTTGATATATGCATGGTCTATTTCTGTGCATTATTCCATTCCATTGTGATGGTAGATGTTTTCAGTAATTCTAAATTCAATTTTATAATGACTCTCTATATCCAATGGTTGAATTTTCCAATTTTGATCATCTTCACCATGGTGTTATTTCCCATTTATCTTTTGCATATCTATGCAAATTTTAGAATCAGCTTGTGAATTTCCACCTTTAAAAAACTACAGTGTGTTTTGGTGGAGCATGGGATGGAGGGAATGCATTGAATTATGGGATCAACTTATTGAGTCTTTAAATCCTTGACCCAAATGTAGACCTCTTTTTTAGGGCTTTATATTAACAAAGTTTTCTGTTTTTTTGTTTTGTTTTGTTTGAGGTCTTACAGATCTGTTTTAGATTTATTCACACATTTATGATACTTGAGGCTAGTGAATTATTTGTATGTATGTTTTAAAACATATTTTCTAAATTATTTGAGAAATACAGAGATATACGATTGATATTTTTATATTGACCTTCAGTCCAGCAACCTTGCTAAATTCCTTTTATTTCTTTTGAATTTTTTCAAATACAGTTATGTTGTCTGTGAGTAGTAACATTTTTATTTTCTTCCTTTTTAGTTTTTCTTTTTCTTGTGTTTTTGTACTAAGACCCATGGTACAGTATTGAATAAAAATGGTGCCAGTGAATAAACTTGCCTTTTCCCAATCTCAGGAAGAAAGCTTTCAATATTTCACCTTTACATATGATGTTTACAGTAAATTTTTTGTAAATATCCTGTAGATGATGGCAAGCAGTTCCCTTCTATTCCTAAGTATTATAAATATTGAATTTTATCAAATGCTTATTTTACATATATTGAAATAATTATAAGACTTTTTTCCTTTATTTGTTCACATTGAGTTATACTGATTTGTTGTTGTTGTTGTTCAGATAGTTTCAGCTTTGCTCTCTGGAAGCTGTTTCATTCCCTATGACATACTCCTATCAGTGTGGGATTGGTTTCTTTGTTTTGTGTGTACTTTTAAGAATGATATAATGATAAAACGGGTCTGAGGCTCATCTTGTATATTTCCTGCCTCAGTCCGAGAATTGGCCATTTCTCCAGGGAGCCAGCATTGCACATATTTCTGTATCTATATTAAGCTAAACATGAGTTCATACTGATATGTTTAACTAGTCCACAAAGCAGGGCTGATTCCAGTCGCCTCCCTTTGCTTCTCTGTAAACTCCCACTTCAGCAATGAGAATCATACCTTCTACTATTCAGCCATCCGTTTACCTAATTGTTCAATTCCATTGTATATGTATAGAAGCATCATAACTCATATGTACATGGGAAACAACTTGATAACTCGAGTACAGTGTTTATCTGCAGTTCATTTTTCCTTTAATCTTATAGATGCCTCTCATTTCCAAAGTTAACATAGCTTGAGGCTTTTTCACCCGCCCCTTTTGTGAGGTTGCTTTGCACATTAACTGTGATCTTTCTTCTTACTTCTGAATCCTTGCAGCCATAATCTCTAGTTTTGTTGTCTTTACAGTTTTGTCTTTTCCAGAATGTCGTAAAATGGAAAACAAACAATATGTAGTCTTTTCAAACTTGTTTCTTTTATTTAGCAAGATGCATTAAGGTTCATTTCTGTCTTGGTTGCCTTGTTGAATAATATACTGTTATATAGATGTATTAGTAATTCATTTGCCTATTGAAGGACATCCGAATATCTTTTGGTTTTGGATGATTAAGAGGAAAGCTACTATAAACATTTCCATGCAGAATCCTGTATGTACATTTAAAACTTTAAATCAGTTGGGTAAATACTTACTAGCACAACTGCTGATTGTGTGACATTTAGCTTTGTAAGAGTCTGCCAGACTATCTTCCAAAATGACTATGCAGTTTGCATTCCCACCCACCAAAAATGAGAGTTTCTGTTGCTATTCTCATAGGCATTTGGTACTGTCAGTTTTTTGGATCTAACCATTATAAGAAGATATGCAGTGGTGTCATTTTTTAATTTATAATTACATAATGACATTTGATGTTGAGCATCTTACGTGCTTATTTGCCATCTTTGTCTTCTTTGGGGCTTTCCAGGTGGTTCAGTGGTAAAGAATCTGCCTGCCAAATAGGAAATGGGAGTTCGATACCTAGGTCAGGAAGATCCCCTGCAGGTGGAAATGACAACCTACTCCAGTATTCTTGCCTGGGAAATCCCATGGACAGAAGAGCCTGGCAGGCTACAGTCCATGAGTTCGCAAAGAGTCGGGCATACTTAAACTGCCACCACCACATTTTTTAATGAGACTTTCGGATAAGAGTTCTTTGTGTACTTTGGAAATAAGTCTTTTATCCAGTATGTATTTTATAAATATTCTGTCTGTGACCCATCTGTTCATTCTTTAACAGTGTATTTTGTAGAAGTTTTAAATTTTAATGAATTCCAACTCAGTATTTTGTGGGTTGTGCTGATTTTTCTAAAAACTCATTGTTAAACCTGGGGATCAGAGGTGGTTGCTCCTGGAGCAGGTTATATATGGAGGGAGGGAGTGGAAGCAGAGGGACAGTAAATCTCTAGGGTTTATTCACTTTTTATGTCGACCTTCAAATAATCATTCTTATTTCAAGCCCCTGGCTGTACCCCTCAGGAAAATCAAGGACCCTCATTTCTGAACCTGTTTTGCTGTTGTTGTTTCCTCCTAAATAGGAGGATGGGATTGACTTGTCTTTGTTCTGCTAGGTTGGTTGTTAACTCATCCATCTGTTTTCCATCTTCCAAAATTTTGTCATGTGGAATCCCCTCTGGTTTTCTTTTTCCTGATGAGTATATATGGTTTCTAACCATTTACTCTTATTTTACTGGAGTTCAGAAAAGGGAATAAAGGTAACATGCATTTTAATCTGCCATATGTAATTAGCCGAATCCTGAATTTTTTAAAACTCATTTATTTTTATTTTTTAAGCAAGCCATCTGATTTACAGCTGTGTAAGTTCATGGCCCTGAGAATACTGACTAAACCTGTGCTTAATTTTTTTGTCTCCATTTCCTACTGATTTTATTATGTACCCTTTATAAGTAGCCAAAATAGTCATTGATGGAAATTATTTTAGGGTGATATGTCTTCCCAAATGGTACTTTGTTGTACCATAGTTAAGTATTTGCGAGAGTGTTATGTAATATCAGTGGTAAAGAATCTTTGTGCCAATGCATAAGGCACAAGGGATGTGTGTTCAATTCCTGAGTTGGGAAGCTCCCCTGGAGGAGGACATGGAACCTATTCCAGTATTCTTGCCTGGAAAATGCTATGGACAGAGGAGCCTCATGGGCTACAGTCCATGGGATAACAAAGAGTCAGACATGACTGAGAACACACCCATGTAATATCAGTCTCATTGTAAGATGATGAACATCTGGCAAACTTATTATTATTTTTTTAATGAAAAAATGTTGAAGGGAAAAGTGCACCTGACATTCAGGAATATATAGAGGATACCAGACAGTACCAGACCAACAGGGAAGATAAATTGGGGAGAAATAGCTAAAATAAATACAGTAAGTATGTATGAGCTATGAACAAAAGAGATTAAATAAACTTCAGAAATACAAAGAGTTAAACAATGTCTCATGGATTTATTATTTTTTTTAGGTGAAAAACTAGATAATTTACAAAGCTGGAGTTGAATCAAACGTTAAATAATGGCAACAGGTGACTTAAAAAGAAGCTTACGGAACTTAGAACAAGTGCTTCGCTCGCTAAATTATCCTAGAGAGGTGGATTGTGTAGGGTAAGCTGAAATATTAAACTTCTTTGTATTATCTTCACTAATGATGTGAGGTAACACATGGGAGGAGTATCTAAATAAAAATACAGATTTTATATAGGTCCTTTAATTTTTTTCATCAAAGTGACTGAGATATTTTAGAAAGCAGTTAGGAGTTTGTTTCTAAGTAGGAATTAATGAAAAATTCCAAGAGATTTGAAACAGCTTTTAGAAGTCGAAACACAGTATTGTAAATATAAGGTATGGCCTCTGTACACCTTTTAATCTCATGGAAGTATAATGGATTTCATTAATTCTGTAGTTTACCAGCCTCCTACATTTAGTTGGGTGGTATTCTGTTTTGATTTGGAAGATTCTAATTAACAGATTTCTTAGGACAACTTATATCACACTTGAAGATTGTTATTAAGCTGTCTCACTTAATAGCCCCACTTTGAACCATTTGCTTTAGTTTCTGCTGTCCAAATATGACTGACTTGCCTGTGTAAAATATAGCAACATACATTTCTTCTCTAATTCTGCTAGTCTAATATACACTCCTATCATTCTTTAGCCTTTGATACCTCTTTTCCTTCATATGTGGGATTGCTGACTGATTAAATATTTTTCCCAGTAGAATGCAGCTTGACATCTGGTGCTTTTGTTCAATTTACTGCAGTCTCCCCCTTTCTAGAACTGCATGGAACATCTTCGAAGCTAATTAGACATTTATTCTATGAATGTGTTGAGGGACAAGTTCATATTAGGTATGTGTTCAAGTAGTGAGTGAACCTGAGTTAAACCAGCTACTCAGTAGCATCCTAGATATTCTCATTGTGAACCAGGGAAGATTAACTAAGAGAAGGCTGCCATTTGTTTAGCGAAGATGACTGTTATTACGACCATTATTTGTGAGAAGCAGAAGGTTATTCCCTAATCTGCTCCCATACTGTGTACTGGTCATATATTGGTTTCTCAAAACAGGGATCTCTCTACTATCCGGACTTGCAGGGACTAATCAGTTTGAGTAACCACATTTCCTTCTTCCCACTTTTAAGTATTAGCATTGTAAAAGGCATTTTGGATAGAAATAGTTCTGAAATATACTGATTATTCTCCTGTCTTCTGAGTATAGCGTTCAAGCATTTGATTTTCTTACTGACCTAAGCTTATCATTAAGAACAAGTTTAGATTATTTTATAATGTAGTAATGTCTGCAGGGTTTATTGACACAGGGTTGGGGGAGGTAATACTATTTTGCTGCTTCAGATTGCTCTCCTTGACCTCACACATACACACACACACACACACACACACACACACACACACACACTGCTCTCCTTGACCTCACACACACACACACACACACACACACACACACACACACATTGCTGTCCTTGACCTCACACACACACACAGCCTCCATGTATTTTGGGTTCTTTACACTTTTTCCCTTTTTAAAGTTTTATCCTGACATCTGCTGTTTTTTGTGTTGGCTTGCCAATTTATAGTATCTGTTTTTCTTACTGTTTCTAGTCTAAGTCGATGGAAACTGGATAACCAAGATTTTTGAGATTGTTTAGCAAAAGAGGTATTCATTGCAGACTGGCTGTTTTCTATTATAATGTTCATAAAATAGACAGATTTTTCTGTAAAAAAGTACTTTTTCATGTTCTGTTTTGAACTGTCTTACAGAGAGACAGAGTTGCCAGAGCAGTTTTCTCATTGAATAAATTATAATTGTACCCATAAAGATAAAAGAGAAACAATTTATATTTTTCTTGAAAAAACAAAATGTAATGTTATCATATTTGTTCTCTTCCTTTTTTTAAAATTTGGGGCAGGATGGGGAAATTTATGTACATGTTTGAATTTTGTGGAAAACAGTCATTTTGAGTAAGTGCATTGTTACGTCAGTTGAACAAATACTTGCTGTGCTTTGTTGAGAGAGAATCAGTGAAGGCACTTCTTGGTGAGAAAGACCCATGTGTGGAGACAGTTAGACAACAGTACCAGACAAGGGCATGAGGCATCAGATCCTGAATACCTGGGGAGTTGTTCTAGAGAGATCCTTGTGGGTCAGAAAGATGGCTTCAGGGAAGGCTTGAGATTGGGTGGATTATTCATACAGAATGAATGACACATAACTGAAGAGAAAGACATACTTTTCTAGGCTAGAAGAATTAGCATAATCTAACAAGTTAGATTCCAAATGAGCCTGATGTCAGGGGAAGATTATAAACTGGTCAACCTTGTCAGCAGTGATGCCTTTTCCAGCCCTGGTATCCTCATCTGTAACTTACAATTCATAATATTTTTCTCTTGGAGGTTTATGATAAAGAGTAAGTGAGGTAATATGAGAATGTTTGCAGAACCATAAAGCCTATTTGCATACTGTAAGGAGCTACCTATGCTGTATTGGTAGGAGAAAATAAACTATATTGAGTAAGGCCAGTCTTTGGGAAATCAATGAATACTGTGGTAAACAGACTGTTGGTATTGATGCCAAGGAGTTCTTGTTTCATAGTAGTTTGGCTGTACTGTTTTAGAGTAGGGGATGGAATCTGAAGGGTCTCGTGCATCACCTAATTATTATTGCTGTTGTGTTAAATTATGAGTTTTTAACAGCATTTAGTTGTGGAATTAAGCATATTAAAAATCTTTTTTCTGTTTTTCCATATAGTTTGATAAAGGGAGATACAGCAGCCTCTCTGCCCATCATCAGCTATTCCCTTACCTCATACTCACCCTATGTAGCAGAACTTCTGGTCGACTCCAACGTTGAGCTCCTAGCAAAGAATGACTTGCGCTTCATAGACACTGTCTATAAGGTATTTTGAGTTTATGAAACAATAATTCTTTTAGAAGTCATCGAATGGTTTTTTTAGATCAATATTTTTATAACTCCTTACATATATAGTTGATAGTATTTTCATATGTATTTATCTTATGTAAATGCAGTCTCTTACAATCAAGATGCAATTTGTTTGCTTTTATGTTTTGTACTCCAGTAAATATGATGACTGGTAAACATTTATCGTTGGTTATCATTTGTCCATTTTATATCTGTTTTTAGTAAAATTTGGTATACTGGCAGAAGTTAGAGTGAATGTGGTTTTATTAAGTAAAATTTGTGGTTCACAGAGTTGTGAGTTAATTTGTTAATTTAGTTGTTCGTAAGAAGGAACTGCAACTTATGTTAGAGCAACTTGTGTTCCTTGAGATCTGAAACCATGTCTTATTATCTACTCTGGCATCTACACTTGTACTGCATGTATCCTGAACTTAATCTCTGTTTGATTTTTCAAAACCCTACTTTGTATCATTAATTTTATTTACATACTATGGTTTATGTAACCTTAAAAAAATAGTAAAAGTCAATTTATCAAATCAAATCTGTTTTTTTTTTTCTTTTGTAAGTAAAGAGTTTGATGAGATGGTAGCTTTTATATGTAGTCTCTGTTTAATCTTCCCTTTCTTTGCCTTTTACCTCAGAAAGCATCCATGGAAGCCTAAAAAGGACTTCTAGGAAATCTGAGGTTACACAGAAGAGATTTTGGAAATTACTGTTTTAATCTGTTTCTTTCATTTTACACATGAGAAATCAAAACTGAGTAGCCTACTGACTTGTCTAAAAATTGTCATAATTTCTATAAACAAATAGAACTGTGGTTTTCTGATATTTGGTATTAACAAGCAAAGGAGTTTTTCTAGTTCCTATGAGAATATTTGAAGTTTTTGATGATTATCTTTTCCATCTTTCTGGAAAGCTATCTGGTACATTCCTAGCTACCTGTTTTCTACCTGTTTCCTACTTGATCAGATCTCATAGCACCCCTACAAGTCTCTTTAGTACCCTTTCTATAGTGGCTTAATCCTCCCCCATCTCTCAAAAATGGTATTACATCCCTGGTCACTTACCATTTTGGATTTTTGAAAGAAATTGCTCCCAACCTTTATGCTGGTCTATTATTTCCTCTTTACAGCTTCTTCGTGATCAATTTAATTATAAACCAATCTTGACAAAAAAGCAGTTTATTCAGTGTGGATTTGCAGAATGGAAAATCCAAATTATATGTGATATTTTGAATTGTGTGATGAAAAAGCACAAGGAGTTGAGTAGTCTTGAGAAGGTAATTTTATTAATAGATTTTTAACTTATGTTAAGTGGCTATATTTTAATGTATAAAGTCAATACCTAGTCAGGAAATTAATGCACAGTGCAATTACCGTGCTACTCACAGATCTGAGTGGCCTTACAATGCCTGATGTTTGCTTTAAATACACATCACTTGTTTTGACACATTTGTGACTTGGAACTACTAGTCCTAAACTAATATAACAAATTAGTATAACACATTTTCATCATTTTGTAGTTTTCAAAAGACATGTGGTCTCATTAGACTTGGCAATATTTGGCAGTCACATTTCATAAAAATTTAAGTGATAGAGGAATTTAATATATACATGCCACCTTCCCACATAGTTTATGACGTCTTAATACCTTTTTTCTTAGACTCCATCACAACAAAGAAAAAAAACCAGTTCTGCTAAGTCAGAACCTTGTTCAAGTGCTGAGAAGACATCTACTGAACCTGTGGGCATTGATGTCACTGGCAGATTTATGACTTCAGGAAAGGTGGGACAGTACAAAGACAGTGTGTTGCATTAGTGTTAAGAATTACCTGCCTAACTGATCCAACACACAAGGTTCACTTTTCTGACTAGCATCTAGAAAAACATTCTACTCAGACATTAGAGTGTAAGGATTTTTCACGATACATATCATGTATTATCTGGGAACATTGGTAAAGTTAGAAGAGGGTAGAAATGTACAATTGAACACGTTTTCTCTTTATATTTCTAATCCCTCATTCTGCCTCTTGTGATTGTGAACATTTACTCTTAATTATGTATCTAATCTTCCTAAGGGCCCCTGCTTTAGTTCTAGGTCTTGATTTATATACATTCATATTTCTGTACCAGGAATGTGGGTTATCCAATGGTTGATAGTCCTTAAATCTATAATCTGGTTTGGGGATGGTGTTTTGAATGTTTTCTGTTTGTTGGTAGATACCTTCCCTGCCTTTGTCTGCTTCAAGAAGCTGTGACTGAATGAGTTCTATGCATTTAGGGATGGTTTTTCTATCTCCAAGGGAAAATGAAGCCATAATATTATTTTATAATGGTAAATATGCTTTCAGCTGTCTTCCACTTGGGGTAAACCCATCGAGACTGAAGGATAGACTATCAGACAAACAATCAATGTGTCATTAGATACAGGATTTGAGTATATTTTAGCTGAAGTAAGATTCAGGGAATTATTTTTCCCCAATTCATAATATGAGTTATAAAAACAGAACCTGTGAATTTATTTATACTTTACTCCATTATAAAATGTAGTGACACTTAACTATAAGAAAAAGGCTCCTATGTCAGTAACTTAAAAAGAAAACTATGCCTGTTCTGTCTCAGGTAATGAGGGCCCTGTGAAAACAAATGTAACTGTCCTGAATCCTTTCCCAACTAGAATTTATCTAAACAAGGAATTTCTTATCCCAGATTTTTCAAATCTTCATTGTGCTTTTTTAGCACAGTACTAGGTACACTGTAAGGACTTAATGAATCTGAGTTGATACAACTGAATATGTTTTTCAATCTTCTATTTCAGTGTGGGGCTGAGGAATGATCTAAATTGTCTTAACAAAAAAAGATACAAAACTTTAAGACATTAGACTTGTTTTTAATTTTCTTAAAATTTCTTTTGTTATCCATCAAAGTTTTATCAATTATATCAAAATTATCCCAAATTTGTGTAGGTATTAAAATTCTTCCAGTTTAGAGAAGTTGGAGTCAGGAAGTACACTGGTTTACATGAAAAGCTGAGTCAGTGCTGAAGCAAATTGTCTCCTTCTCCATGCTTTTCTGGAGTGCTAGTTGTGACTTCTGTGTCATGTGTGCTGAGTTTTCATTGTACATATGCAGATTGTAGAAAAAGGAAGTAGGCAGAAGAGTCCTGCATAAATGCAATTTCACCTAAAGCTTCCTCTCAATGCTTTCCGTTTGTAATTGTTATTGAGGGTCTGATGTTTTGTGGTTTATTTAATAGAAAAAAGCATTGTAATGAGTCCTACTCATAAAGCCAGCTCAATTATCTATATACATGAATAGTGTGTTAACCTTTTAAAAACAACTTCCTTTTATGGACCATCTCTAAATTTACCAAAGTATTCATTCAGAGTTTCAGCAATTTGTCAACTCTTTGCTAATCTTCTTTTATCTTAATTGTAATCACTTCTCTGAACATCTTCCCCCCCCCAAATTGAAACCTTTTGAAACAAGTCACAGACATCATTGAGTAGATTATTTCAATATTTTGTAAAATGTAAAAATGCTTTTTAAAAATCATGACCAGAACTTTATCATCACATATAAAATATTAATAAATTTGTAATATTTGGTATATGCATATATGGTAATTTATACTTCTATAAATTTTAAATGGAAAATAGGATGTTTGTTTTGAAAAATTACTATGTGTGTGTTTAAAATAATTGTGGAAGAGAACATGGAAGCATCTCTGATGTATTTTTCTCTATGCAGAAGAAAGCTGTGGTGATCCGACACCTGTACAATGAAGATGGTGCTAACATTCCTGAAGATACAGAAACAGATGTTAACAAAGCATTTGATGTTTGTGACTTAAAGGCTGCTGAAATAATTCCTGAATTACAGGTTTCTGACATTAACTGTGAGCAACAAGTAAGAATTTGGGGCTTCTTGAACAGATGCCAGTATTTCTTGCTTTGATGTACATGATTATTTAAGCATCTAACCTTTGTAACATTTCTAGTCTTTTAAACTATTGATCATGACCTGTTACCATTATTTAAGAATCACTAAGTCTTACTGAATATAATTAAAAAGATATTATTTGCTCCTCATGTTTAGGGTACTAGGAGAGATGATGCAGAGATGAATAAGACATAGGACTTCTTCAAGCTTCACAATCTAGTGAGAGACATAGACTGCTTTGTAGGGAAGGTTCTTTCCCACCTCTTCCCTGTATTGATGAATGGAGGAAAATGGTGCACTGCAGCCCTTTCGTTTTCCTTCTGGGACCCTGCTGTCCTTGTGCCCTCTCCCTCTCTCTGTGAATATCATTTCTGTTACTTTGTGGTCACAGACCCTGTTATAGTGTCTGGTCATTACTGCTTTTGTTAAAACTCCTTTTTCTGTCTTTTATGCCTTGTGACTTACATCTTGGTATACAGTTGCCATTTAAAAGCCACCAGATATCCATTAGGCTTATTTCCTGTTTATAGCAAAGGGAACAATCTCAGTGTACTTTCATTTCTTGGTCATTTCCTCTTAGCTTTCCTAATTATAAGAAGCGAGTTAGTTACAGTTTTATTTTCCTAACTGATACTGTTCTATCATTTTAGGATATAAAACTCAATCCTGAGGTTACTGCATTACAGTCTGTGCTTGCTGAATGCCAAGAAAAGCTTAAGAAACTGACTTGCATAGAAAGTAGATTAGAATCTTTGGAAGAAAAAATGAAAGGGAAGGTGATGGTGAATGAAAAAACCTGGGCCAATCTTCTGAGTCGTGTCACTCTTCTCGAAACAGAAATGCTTTTATCTAAAAAGGTATTTTCTTTCCTTTGCTTCTATAGAGTATCTCAGATATAATAAAGTACTTCTATTCATTATTATGTGTATATTCTTTGGGATGCTAAATAAGAGCCTGTTCTGGGTCTTGGGAAGTGTTTAGTTGAAATGAAGTCCTAGTTGGACACAGCCCGTTTAGTGGTGCCTGTTGGGACTATTGCTTTTTCCTTCATCCAGTAAGATAATCTGATGAACTTGTATCAATTTCTGGTCCTAGTCTATCTTTCCTTCTTAAAAAGTAGATTAAAGGTTTCTATCTCCTTCCACATTTGAAAGATTATTTTTTATATAGAGAGATGTTTATGTTTTGCTTGTAAATAAAATAAAAGTTTCTAAGCATTTTTATGTCATCTGTATATGTTATGCAGTAAGAATATAAATTGAGAACATATCTTTTCATTTTATTCTAAATACTAAAGTGTGTTATTTCAGAATGATGAATGTCTAGAGTTTAATGAAATGAGTGAAGACTATGTTTCCAGTAGTGACATGGACAGCCTCAATCCAGGTGAGCTCTTGGTGTGTTGGAATTGGTGATATGATTAGGAGATTTCACAAAAATGTTTTTATAGTATTTGATTATTTTAATCCCTGAAACCTTATTTTTTTTAGAAATTGCAAAACTCCTAAGAAGAAAGAAAATAGTTACTGAACTTATAGATAAGTCAAGAGTTGCTAGAAAAGCCAACTTACATATAGTAGTGGAATAAATTCCAATCTATAAAATTGCAAACGTTTAGAGGTGTTTTACTCTTTTATTTATAAAGCAAAATGCTTTAATAAATGGACCTCCGTAATTTCTCATTTAAACTTAAGTAATAACTTTCACCAGGAATGGCTTCTCTGGTGGCTCAGATGATAAAGAATCTGCCTGCAAAGCAGGAGACCTGGGTTTAATCCCTAGGTCAGAAGATCCCCTGGAGAAGGGCATGGCAACCCACTGTAGTATTCTTGCCTGGAAAACCCCATGGACAGAGGAGCTTGGCAGCTATAGTCCATGGGGTTACAAAGAGTTGGATGTGACTGAGTGCCTAATACATAATAACTTTCACATATGTGAATAATCTATATAAAAGAAAAAAAAAACACATTTGTCAGTAACCTGTAATGTGTTACAAACCTCTTATATTTCAGCAGTTCACCAATGATGATAGAATGTGAAGACCTAAAATTAGGGCAGATCTCCATGTCCCTTAACTTCTTTGGCTACTGGCATTTCTATTGTGACTGAACAGCAGGGATAAGATTTCTAAGCTGCTTTTCGGTGATGGCTTTTTTTTTTTTTATTCTTACACTTTTTGAAAAGACAAAGACTAAATTTTGTCTCATGTTATAATCATATTTGCAGAAGAGATATTTTTCTAACAGAATTCATAATGAAGCTATAGTAATAAAAATTTAATTCTCAAAACAATACAAGTGCTTTATTATCTATATTTTACAGATGAGGAAGAGAGGTTAAATATTTAACTGCCAAAAGCCACATAGCTACTGAATGATGGGACATGTTTGAATTGAGGCAAATTAGCTTTGACATTTTCTTTTCAGCACTGCATACTTAGTGTACATACCAGTTTCAATGCACAGACAACAATTTCAATGTTTAGGTTATTAGGTACAATTATTAAAGATGCTATTTCTGGCATTAAATTTATTACAGACTACAAGTTTCAGATTTGGTAAAAGTTGACTTTTTTCTCTTTATCATTCATTACTCAACAAATTTCTAAGCTCAGTTCCAAGACCCTTGAGAGCAAGAACTTTATCTTATGGTCTGTCCAGCATAATGTCTGTATTTCTGTCCCCAGTAAATATTTATGGTAGAAATCAAGTTTTCATGCATTGCAAGAATACTGAATGCCTGCTATTTGCAAACATTGTCTTTGCCAAGTTCGATATTGCCTGTTTGGGCTTAAACTTTTTAAATAACGTATTGCAGCACATACTATTAACCCCTTAGTTAAACACATAACTGAGTTTAAGACCTGCGCTGGGACTCTGAGTGATGAGCAGACAGACCACTGTCTGACATGAATTATAGATTAGGAATGAGGTGAATACTTGTCTCAAAAAATTTTTAGTCTGACCCTGGTCAATTAAGAGTCAAATTTATGAAGCTTATACATTATATCTAACCTATACATGCTACCTGGAAGAAGAGGGTTTGACTTCCTTTTGATGCTGAGAGCAGCAGTTTACCAATCTGATCTTAGAATTATGTTGGGTTGGGGGTGGTTTCCCTGAAGTTCATGCTGATGAGTGAGTAGAGGAGTGGAGCCAACAGGCAAGAGGCTGTGGCTTGGTGAGAGACTAAAAAGTCCTCATGTGGTAATACTCTGTCCCACAATACAAAGATTGTCTGTGTAGGCTTATGGTAAACTGTGTAAAATAGTTTAAATGGGTACCTGATTTTTTTTTTTTTGGCCTTGTTTTTGCAAATGTACTATAACTAAAAATGCAGGGCTTATGGAATTGATTGGACAGAGACTTGTCTTTTCTATGATGTTCCGCAATTGATTCAGTTGTAGGAAAGACTTGCCATCATTTTGCTGAATGAATAATATCAGGATACTGGAAAAGGAAAGTTATTCAGTTATATAGAGAAATAAATCTGAACCCTGAATTTTAAGCAATTTTTTCCATACATATCAACTCAGGGTAAAATGTTTCTTGATTTTTAGGAAGTATATACGGTCAGTTTAAGAAAAGAATATTCATGGGTCAGTAGCCTATATTTAAAAATACATTTACCTGTATATTCAGTTGATTGCTATCGTGATAAAGATAATATTACTTTTCTTGATTTTTATTGGCCAATTTTTAACATCTAGATCTTCATGTGCAGGTCATTATCCTAAAAGAATATTAAGGACTCATCTAGACCTATACCAGTAGCTATTTTATATTGAGATGTTTATATACATAAACATATACATAAAATTTTAGATATTTGACTCCCCCGTGAAAGGAAAAGGTAACCTAAAAATTAATTTCTCCACAGATAGAAAAAGCAAAGAGGAAAGGCATGCAAATATTCCTTTGTCCTCTGGTTATAGTACGGTGTCATCAGATTCAACTCCCAGAACCTCAACTGTTCATTACTGTGGTTTGAAAGAGTTCTCAGAGGTAAGAAGAATCTGGCAACCACTTACATGATTTCCTTTGTAATGTCAGAAAAAGTAAGCATTAGATTTAGTTATAGATGCCATTGGCAAGAAAAATAGTGAAACTATTTTAAGATATTTTAAACTATTTAAGATATATTTAGGACTATTAAGATAAATCTTAATCTCATAAAAATTCTTTGTGATAAATTAACAGTACTTAATGCAGTGTTTTAGAGTGTGTTTTATATGTTCATGGTCCATCTTGGATTATGGTTTACTTTGAGAAATTGTCTAAATTTGTTGCTTTTTAAATTAAAGGAAACAATGCAGAAAATGGAAAGGATGAAAAAAATGTAAGTAACCAAAAAAGGGCAACAGAGATTCATTTCTCTATAGGGAATTGTGTTGGATTACAGTATATAAAGAATGTACATGTGTGTTTCAGACCTTGAAGGTCTCTCAATCAGGTGTGGAATTTCCTTCAAGACTCTAGTGAATAATAAATCTATCTACAGTTATGTGTTTGTGAGATGAGTCACTGTTTTTGTTTCTAACAAGTGATGTAAAACATTGTTAATGAAATTAATTGCAGATTATAGAGTGCAGTGATATTTTTGGTTGATATTAATAATTAGTCCAGAAATTATCTATTTTTGATAACTACTTTATCAAACTATTAAATTATGTATGTAGATGAATGGTTTGGGGACATACAAGTATTGGTAAAGTGTTGCTAAAATCTTTTTCAGAAAGTTGTTGGTATGATAATACTGAATATGATACTTTCATCTAATACAAATATAAGTTATGTGTATTTTTTAAAGAGAAGTTGAAATAAAATATGAAATGAAATTGTGTAAGATTATCATGCAGCCTACTACTTTAAAAAACTATAATTTTTTTTTTTTAATTTGAAATGTGCTGAAATAACTTATGTTCCACGATTTAAAGACTTAAATTGACTCTAGTTGTTTTACCTTCCCTTCTGGCCACAGTATACTTATTAACAGTACTTGTACCTATAAATAGGCACTGAAGTTTATTTAAGGCTCAAAAGCATAATTTCAGTAACCTAAATCCTACACCTTACTATGGATTAGTTATTTACTTAATATATTATTTATTTATTATATTTCAGGTTTGAAGAAACTGCAGAGTTACTGAAATGTCAAAAACACTAATTATAGAATTGTCTGCATGAACTTCTCTAGGACTTTGGCTACTGTACATGTTGTATATTTTAAAGAGTTCTGTATGCAATTTTAATACACTGGAATGTTCTTATTAGAGTTTGAATTCCATTTGGTATATTCACTTTTTGGTTCCATATTGAATAAATACTTAAATATTTTTGCGCTTTGATTATACTGCTTTACTGTTTTGCTATTCTTATGACAGCTAAGGTGCCAGTACACTTCTTTTAAAGTGTGAAGTCATTCCAGCACTGTATTTTTGTGTCAACATTTGTTGGCAGTGTGCTAAATAATATGTTTTTTAAAGTACAGGCTTGAGGACCATGGTTTATATCCTGTTGGAAACGCTTCACCTGGGACTTGCATGTCATCCCCAGGAGGCTCTCATATATACCATCTTGCCATCTGTACTGACGAATATGTTGTAATGAAAAGTTGAAAATACTCATTGAAATTTAAATAAAACAAAAATACAACTGTTTCATGCGCAGTCAAAAGGCAGCAACACATTTTCAATTAATGTTGAGGAAGTCATGGCATGATTCTCCTTTTGTGTTTGGAAGCAAGTTGGACAGTTGTGAAAATGTGTTGGGTGTTTTAGTACTCTATTCTGTAACACATTTTAAGACTAGCAGCTCAGACTCAGATGGTGGCCATTCTGTATTACAAGATACACAGTGAGTATTTTTGTTTGTTTGTTTTTTTAAATGATGGGAAGTTATGTTCTTTTTGAGAGAGAAAAAAATCTTAGATGAACTTAAATTAGAGAAAAGTGGAATTCATTTTAAATAACTAGATGAATGATTTTATTTACTCATATATTTATATAATGTAAGTCAATATTTGCCACATGTGAAACATTAATAGTAATTTAAAATTCTAAGTATAAGTAACCTAAAAATACTTTTATTATTCTAATACAGGAACATGTGTAGTCATCATACTTTTAAATTATGAACTTTTGAAGTTAGCATACAACTTTGAGTTTAGTAGTTTCAGTAAATATTTCTAGAATTAATGAATCCATTTAGCTTTATTTTTTCAATTGCACAAAGTTATAAGCCAAGAGATTATGAAAAACCACTTTATCAATGAAACTTCTAAAAATTTAGTATCTGTAGGCATGGAATTGTAGCACCACCTTGTGGTTTATATGCTGGTATTTTACCTTTTATTAAGATATGTGGTTTCCTGTGAAACATAGGATCTTATTTTCCCTTTGAAAAATCGAATTCCAGTTTTAAAAAGAAATGTTTTGGAATCTTCTTTTTTGCACAAAAGAGAAGCTATCTTCTTTTCTCATGGTCTTTTTTTTTCCCCCCTCTCCTTTATGTAGTATACATATATACCAGTTGTTGTTGTTTAGTCTTTTAAGTTGTGTCCACTCTGCGACCTCATGGACTGTAGTTCGCCAGGCTCCTCTGTCCATGGAATTCCCAGGCAAGAATATTATAGTGGGTTGCCATTTCCTTCTCTAGGGGATATTCCTGACCCAGGGATAGAACACGCACCTCCTGCATTAGCAGGCATATTCTTTACCACTGAGCCACCAGGAAAGCCCTGAATACCAATGAAAAGATTTTAAACATTTTAAATTTCCTGATATACATTATGTGTGCTAAATATAAATTTCTACTGAAAATATAATAAAAGATGTCATATTATCTAGTGGAATTTGGAATCCAAATTTTTTCATACTTTTATCTAACAAGCTTACACAGGAATTAATGAAAACAACCCATAAGAACACCATGTGTTTATACTTACAAAGAATCTTACTACTTTGATGATGTAATTTTTTGGGGAAAAGAAAGCAAATTTGACTTCATTGAAGTTACTGAAGAAAGAGCAATTATTTATTCTTCTTCTAACTCTCCTGGAAGTAGTAGAAAACTTTTTCCTCTTAGGTAATTTGGTGAGTAGCTTGAACCATAAACCAGTCATTTGAAGTTCTTAAGAAAGTAAGGAAGGGAACTCCTGGTGAGATTATTTGGAACTACATAATTAAACCCGCAGTTAACTAGAATTTTCACGAACTCCATCCCCTTAATTCTCCTCTAAGTGGGATGAAAGGTATTTATTATACTGCCCACAAAGGCATCAGCAGCTGGTGTGGCCCTACCTATACTGTGCTCTGAATACATCTAGATAGAGATCAGATAGAAACACTGAGAATTCATAAGGTGAAATAAGAAGTAATGGCAATTCTATGAAAATTGTAGGCATAACTCAGGACTATTAAGTTGGAAAAAATGGCTCTACATTTGTTTGTTTGTCTCACTCTAACACTTTGTAATGTCATATTTTAACATGTAATACATTCCCTGAAAAATAAAACTTCAAGACTTTGGAGGCTGCATTTCATGCTACTCATTCCTCCAGCTTTACATCGTTGACAGGCACTTGGGGAGGCATTAAAGTGTAAATGAACCTTGTCAGTTTTACAAACTACAACACTTTTTGAGATCCAATAACATTATAGGTTTAATTTTTAGTTTTTAACAATTCCCAAGTTCATCTAGTGTAAATGTCAGGTTTCTTACCCTACTCACTTAAAGAGTGATAAAAGGCAGCAGTAGTGATACAGAGAACATGCAGATTTATTGGGGTGGGAGGGGATCTTTCAAAATCCATACTCATTTGATTATGGTTTTTATATCTAATACTTGTAGGAATGGGACTGTACAGTATGTATGTCTTATTTGTCTCTGAAGTTCACAAATCACAAAAAATATTTGATTTTAAAAAATTTTAATATGAAATATTCAACTCAACATTTTAAAATTAAGAATAGAGCACTTGGGTTTCCCTGATGGCTCTGGTAAAGAATCCACCTGCCATTGCAGGAGACATGGCTTCGATCCCTGATCTGGGAAGATCCCGCGTGCTGTGGAGCAAATAAAGCCTGTACACCACAGCTGCTGAGCCTGTTCTCTAGAGCCGGGCAGCCACAGCTACTGAAATCACATGCCTTGACTACTGAAGTCTGAGCCCCTAGAGCCTCTCCTCTGCAGTAAGCCACTACAGTGAGAAGCTGTCATGCCACAACTAGAGAGTAGCCCCTGCCTGCTTACCTCAACTAGAGAAAAGCCCACGGCAGCAACAAAGACCCAGTAGAGCCCCCCAAAAAGCATTTATTCAGTAAGTTTCCCAAATGCATAAATTATTTGAATTATATATTATGGATGGGTATTAAGATAAAGGAGGGCATCATAATTACTGATTTCTGAATCTGACATCTTAATTTCAATTTAACAGCAGTCATTTAGATGTTATGTCATATTGCTCTATCTGGTAATGTATTTAAGTGTGAAAAATAATATGTAGCATGAATTTATAAGTTGATAATTTTTAACATAATTTCCCATACTTAAAGCATTAATATTTCTGAGCCTTATTGCAGTAAGTTTCTCCCAGTAAAAAAGGTGAGCAATTTTTAGAAACTACCATATTTTTAAAAGCTTGCACAAAACTATCTAGGTCTAATTTAAAGCACTAGAAGCCGGAGAATTTTTACCAAAAAAAAAAAAAAGTGAGATTTCTGCTTGCAGCAACATGACAGACAAGATATTAAAAGAATTTTTTAAACTCCTGCAAGAAACCATCAGACATTCTGGAGGAAATGCACTAAATATTTATCACAAGAAATCGAAAGAAATTCTTAAGGACCTAAAGAAGAGGAAGCAAAAATCCAGAGGGCTTGCAGCTGACTTGGGGTAGTTTGTTGACAGTAGGACCCTAAGGCCTTCAGGGTTTTTCCTTGTTTTCTCATCAGCCTGATTGTGGAATAATTTACATATAATAAAACTTCCTTGATGGTCCAGTGGTTGAGAATCCAGCTGCCAATGCTGGGGACAAGAGTTCCATTCCTGGTCCAGAAGTTCAGGGCAGCTAAGTCGGAGTACCACAACTACTGAAGCTCATGCTCTGGAGTCCATGCTCTGCAATAAGAGAAGCTGCCACAATGAAAAGCCCATGCATTGAAACTAGAGAAAGCCTGTGCACAGCAAAGAAGACCCAGCACAGCCAAAAATAAGTTTAAAAAATTTAATTACATACAAATGTTTTAAATTAATTCACCAGTTAACAGAATTCAGTGAGTTTTTACGTTCATGTAATTACCTCTCTAATCAAGATCTAGAACATGCCCCTCTGTACCC